CTTGTGAAAAACGGGTCTTTCATGCTGTCGTGCCTATTGAGGTACCCTCGTATAAAAAGGCTGAAGGAGAACGACCTGTACTGGGTGTCCACGCTACTAGACCCCCGGTATAAGCAGAAAGTGGCTGAAATGTTACCAAATTACAACAAGTCGGAAAGGATGCAGCAAAATAAATTAAAAAGTATGCTTTACACAGCGTATAAGGGTGATGTCACAGCACAATGGGAATCTAACAGGGGAAGAGGTGAAAGTAATCCTCCTCCTCCCACGACCACGCCGGCAAGGACAGGACGCTTTACAGACGTGTTGTTGATGGAGGACATGCGGAGCTTTTTAAGTCCTACGAATCGCCACAGCCTTTCGGGATCCACCCTCAGAGAACGACTCGACCGACAGGTAGCAGACTACCTCACCTTAACTGCAGATATCGACACTCTGAGGAGCGATGAACCCCTTCACTACTGGGTGTGCAGGCTTGACCTGTGGCCTGAGCTATCCCAATTTGCGATAGAACTTCTGGCCTGCCCAGCTTCAAGTGTCCTGTCAGAAAGGACCTTCAGTGCAGCAGGAGGTATTGTCACTGAGAAGAGAAGTCGCCTAGGTCAAAAAAGTCTAGATTACCTCACCTTTATTAAGATGAATGAGGGATGGATCCCGACAGGACTGACAGTGGGCGATACATCCGACTAAAAAAGGCCTGATGAGATGAGCTGCCTTGGGCTAAAAATGGTCCATACGCTGCTGTATTTTAGCTCTGAATGCCGGTTGACTTGCGTGACTTATCCGCCACCAACTAGGGTTCAAGCCGCAATGTTTTAGGGCAGTGCTCCCCAACCTTTTTATCGCCGCGGACCGGTAAACGTTTGATCCACATACCGGTCCGCGGCCCGGGGGTTGGGGAACACTGTTTTAGGGCACTTTCTGCCTGGGAAACAAACATCAATTCTTCTGGCCGCTGCTACAATACCTAATTTTTCAGGCATGTGTACATGCCTAATTTTTCGGGCCTCTGGTGCTGCACTGTGGTTTCAAAAACCAAACCAAAAAAAAGGCACATAACAGGGATTAAACTGATAAGAATAATACTACTTAACACACCTTATAATAACGCAGAGAGAGGCAACGCAGAGAGAGGCAACGCAGAGAGAGGAGTCTGAAGAAGAGGAGTCAGAGGAGGAAGGTGGCTTTGAGGAGGTGGAAGACCAAACACAGCAAGCGTCCCAGGGGGCTTGTTGTCACCTTTTGGGGACCCTTGGTGTTGTACGTGGCTGGGTGGAGGAAGAGACCTTCAATGACATCAGTGAGGACAAGGAATGGGACATGGCTAGCTTGGTATCCAACCTTGTGCAAATGGGGAGTTTGCGGTTGTGCAAATGGACTGTTTGCGGTTGTTTGCGGTGCGTTAAATGGGGAGTTTGGTCTGTCACTGTGAAGCGGGCGTAACCCTTACACTACCTGATCGATACAACATCATACAGTAGGTCCCCCCCCTCATTATTTTTATGACCCCACCCACCGCTCACGGGTGGGGGCGGGCGGGAGGACAGTAGGTCCCCCCATTGAGATTTATGGCCCCCACCCACCGTGCAGGGGTGGGGACCGGGGGGGAGGACAGTAGGTCCCCCCTTATCCTTATTTACTGAATATTCCCCTGTATAACAATGTTTGGCATTTAGTGAATATTCCCTATTCTGCTCTGTGTCAGTGTGTATCAGGGATCATTAGGATAGGTGTCAATCCATATCTGCCAAGTGACCATATGTAGGAGGAACAGTCTCTATTCTGCTCTGTGTCAGTGTGTATCAGGGGCTCTGAGGACAGGTGTCAATCCATATCTGCCAAGTGACCCAATGTAGGAGGAACAGTCTCTATTCTGCTCTGTGTCAGTGTGTATCAGGGCTCTGAGGACAGGTGTCAATCCATATCTGCCAAGTGACCCTATGTAGGGGGAACAGTCCCTATTCTGCTCTGTGTCAGTGTGTATCAGGGATCCTTAGGACAGGTGTCAATCCATATCTGCCAAGTGTCACATATTCATCCGCTTATAGAAATGTGGTTAATGACATTTACTGTCCATACAGGAAAAGTTGTGCCGAGCAGCAACCTAATCCACAGAAGGGTTAATGCTGAGCAGTAATTGTGCAAATGAAACCTGGTGTCACGTATTCATCCGCTTATAGAAAAGTGGTTAATGACATTTACTGTCCACACAGCAAAAGTTGTGCCGAGCAGCAACCTAATCCACAAAAGGGTTAATGCTGAGCAGCCATTATGCAAATGAAACCTGGTAACTGACTTTGGGGTCAAAGGCCGGTTGCAGCCTATCAGAACTAAAGGAGGGGTATTTAGGCCCAGTTCTCAGCCTGCTCAGTGCCCTGTTGTGGTTTCCCTTGTGGTTGTCCGAGAGCGTGTTCCTGTTTATAGTTTTCTACCTGGTTTTTGACTTTGGCTTTGTTTATTGACTTCTCTATATTCTGGTATCCTGACTCCTGGCTTTCCTCATCGCTGTGTCCTTTTCTGTGTTCCCTGACCTCGGCTAGTATTTTTGACTATTCTTTGTACGTTAAATCCGGCCATTCTAAGGACCGGTAATACGTTACTTATTTGTCATCTGTGCTGTACAGTTCTACGTGCTGGATCAAACAGTAATCCTGACACCAAGTGACACTATGTAGGGGGAACAGTCCCTATTCTGCTCTGTGTCAGTGTGTATCATGGTCTCTGAGGACCAATCCATATCTGCCAAGTGACCCTATGTAGGAGAACAGTCTCTATTCTGCTCTGTGTCAGTGTGTATGATGGTCTCTGAGGACAGGTGTCAATCCATATCTGCCAAGTGACCCTATGTAGGAGAACAGTCTCTATTCTGCTCTGTGTCAGTGTGTATCATGGTCTCTGAGGACAGGTGTCAATCCATATCTGCCAAGTGACCCTATGCAGAAGGAACAGTCTCTATTCTGCTCCGTGTCAGTGTGTATCATGATCTCTGAGGACAGGTGTCAATCCATATCTGCCAAGTGACCCTATGTAGGGGAACAGTCTCTATTCTGCTCTGTGTCAGTGTGTATCATGGTCTCTGAGGACAGGTGTCAATCCATATCTGCCAAGTGACCCTATGTAGAAGGAACAGTCTCTATTCTGCTCTGTGTCAGTGTGTATCATGATCTCTGAGGACAGGTGTCAATCCATATCTGCCAAGTGACCCTATGTAGGAGGAACAGTCTCCTATTCTGCTCTGTGTCAATATGTCATATGTCAGGTATCAATCCATATCCATTGTGATTTAGGAATGTTAGGTGATTTCTGCCCTTTATGGATTAAGACCAGACTCTGCATCAACTGTGTAATTTTCCATGGGAGTTTTGCCATGGATTCCCCTCCGGCATGCCACAGTCCAGGTGTTAGTCCCCTTGAAACAACTTTTCCATCCCTATTGTGGCCAGAAAGATTCCCTGTGTGTTTTAAAATTCGCCTGCCCATTGAAGTCTATGGCGGTTCGTCCGGTTCGCGGACATTTGCGGAAGTTCGCGTTCGCCGTTCGCGAACCGAAAATTTTGTGTTCGCGACATCACTACTGTTACATTGTTGGTTTAAAAAAATCAAACTTTTTGGTGCTAAATAGTACATTTGCGGACTGTGTTGCACTTCATATTTGAGAGTCAAATAGAACAGTCAAATACTGTGCTTACATTGCAGTTTTAAACATTCAATTTTTTTAGGTGCTCAATAGTACATATGGGGCCAGCACATCATATCTGAGAGTCAAATACAAACGTCAAATACTGCTGTTACATTGCAGTTTGCCTAATTCACATTTTTTTGGTGCTAAAAAGTACATTTGTGGTGTGCACTTCATATCTGAGAGTCAAATAGAACCGTCAAATACTGCTGTGACACAGCAGTTTTAAAAATTCAAATTCTTTAGGTGCTAAAAAGTAAATTTGGGGCCTGCACTTCATATCTGAGAGTCAAATAGAACAGTCAAATACTGTGGTTACAGTGCATTTTTAAACATTCAAATTCTTTAGGTGCTAAATAGTACATTTGGGGTGTGCACTTCATATCTGATGTATGTGTAAAACACTGGCTAGTTACTGCTTCTCAAGAAAGTCTTAAGACTTTTTTTTAAAAAGTGAAAAATAAGTGTTATTATGATCGCTTCATATACAGAAGCATTAATATACATTTCTATATTGTGTAAAGACACAACTACAAAGTTAAAAACCAAACACCAAAACAACGTGCCAGACAATCTACCTGTGCATGGCTAGTGTGATACAATAAGTCTACATCTTAAAAATGCAATAACCCACAGAAGATGGGCGAGAATTTTTTTTTGCAAAGGAACTTTGATTCGCATTTACTACATCGGTCACTTGTAATATTGTTTCACACCTACAACACTTGTTAAACAGATCTAAGTGATAGAAAACAGATTGATATTTTCTACACTAGAAACTACCAGATAACAAGCTGCTATATTTAAAACAGTTATCAATAGCTAAGAGGTACTTAAACAATATTGTAATTCTGGAGCAATACCCTCACAAGTCAAACCGAGAGGTCAGTTTATAGGGAAAACTGTTGCCTGGATACAATTCTAAAACAATTTCCATATGTCCTTTGCAGATTTTACATGCTGGAAAAACACAGGTGCCAACTGCTGTGGCTTTCTGCAATGTGCAGACCGGCAAGGAGGGCAGGGTTGAGGAGTGGGTGGAAGATGATGTGGAGGATGATGAGGTCCTAGACCCCACATGGAATGAAGGTCATGCGAGTGACGTGTGCAGTTTGGAGGAAAAGGTGGTGGTCGCACAGAGGCACCAGCACAGCATAAGAGGGTGCAAAAGCAGAGCCTACATCCCCTAGCGCTTGTTGGCATGTATTAGCTCTAGAATTACCACAGTTATCCAAGTAACAGATGGAGCAATCAAAGGAACCATAACTGATTTAATGAGCCATTCGCAGTTTCACTGTAGCGGAACTCCACCTTGCACATGCTGGAGAGACAGCGGAGTTTCAGCTGCAGCACGCACGGGTCAGTCACTCTGCACCAGACTTGCCCTCCAGTTGATCCTCGTTAAAGGATTTAAAGTGGACTCATTCCAATTACAGGGCCTGGAAAGAGTCCTGTATTGTTATTTATTGTCACTACCTCCCCCCGTCGGTAATGGGTAATTTGCACGCCTGCTGCCTTCCTTGGATGTGGTAGTTGTTTCTCAGGCTCCCTCTCCTGAATCGAACCCTGATTCCCCATTACCCATGGTCACCATGGTAGGTGCAGAAAGTAACATCAAAAGTTGATAGGGCAGACATCCGAATGCTTCATCGCCGCCACGGTCACCGCCTCCTCAACCTCCTACTCTACATCCATCTTCTCCTCAACCACCTACTCTACATCCACCTCCTCCTCCTAGAGCAGGGTGCAAAAGCGGAGCAGCCGTCCCCTAGACAGTACGCCTGCTACTGCCCACCGCACCCAGTAACCAAGCACACCAAAGCAAGCTCCAAGGAGTTCCCTGACGTGGCAGTTTGAACGAGGAGAACCCAGTTGATTCCTGTGGCACCTCTTGATAGGCAAACAGGAGATGGTGCAGGAATCTCTCTCAATCCTTGTGAGTCGCCTCAAAGGTACAGAGCATTAGCTTCAACGTAACGTTGAAGCGCTCACACAGGCCATTGGTCTGGGGGTGGTAAGGGGAGCTCAGGATTGGTTTAATGTGCACAATCTCCACAGTTGGTGGGTCATTTTGGCAGTAAACTGGGTACCCTGGTCTGAGAGAATGTCCTGGGGAAAACCCATCTGGGAGAACACTCCCATCAAGGCTTCAGCCACCATCACTGCCCGAATACTGCTCAGTGTACAGAGTCGCGTAGTCCACCTACAATGCCGAACGGGTCTTCACTAATAGGTAGGGGATAGAGGGGGCCCTGTGCCGGTCCCTTCTCTTCCCCACTCTCTGGCAGACATCTGGCAGTACTGCCTCAGATCCTGAGAGATGCCTGGCCAGAAGAAGCTTTGGGTGAGCCGAGACGCTGTCCGGCTCCTGACTAAATGCCCTGCCAAGGGGATATCATGAGCTAGCTTCAGCAGCTCATACCAATACTTCTTGGGTCTGGGGCATTGAAAAAGTGCTCTAGCATGACGAGCTGGGTGATCTCCTCCGGGAACTTGACTTGATGGGAATTGAGCCAGTTCTGGGTGGCCCTTGTGATGTGGCATGCCCACTACGCAAGGGAATCCTTCTCCCCTTTCCGGGTCTCCCTAAACTTTCGGCGATATTGCTCGGGGGTGACCGCATACCGGGCCAGGAGGATTTGTGTAAAAAGGGATAGTCTCTGATGTGCTCTTCTGGTACATCTCGGTAAATATCCGCTGCCTTCCCCACTAGTTTGCTGGCCAGGATGGTGACACAGTCGCTGGGGTCCACGTCTTGGAGTAGGCACTGGCGCTCAAAGTCTTGTAAAAAGTCATTGATGCCTTCTGCTTCCTTGAACTATTTGAAGGCATTGTATGGTAGCTTGTGGGCCAGGGTGGTTGTGCTTCCTCTGCGCCCTTCTTCTTTCATCTGGGTTCATGGAGGTTGCCCTCTGTCTATTGGCAAGGACATAGGCTTGCACCTCCAAAAAGGTCCTGCTGACTATCTCCTCTGAGGGTGGCTCTCGGTAATATGCCAGGCACCGGTCTACCTCCTCATCTTTGGCCCCTGGCTGGCACTTCCTCCTCATCTTTGGCCCCTGGCTGGGGTTCGTTGCCTCACTCCGTGTCTGGTCATCCTCAATGAGTGCAGCAGTCAATTTGGCCTAGTTACGCCTACCAGGCGTTATTCCTCTGGCTCCACACAAGTCTGGGTAACTGGGTAACCGATCGTTATCCCCTTTGATTAGAATAGGTCAGACCCATTTCCCCAGTAACCGGATGGGATACAGTTCCAGGATACAATGTTTGACGATCTTTATTTGGGTACACAGCTTTGCCTCCTGTTGTCTCAGCTTCCTCCGCCTCTACCACCTCCTCATCTGATCAGCATAACACCTTCACCACCAACTTCAGCACAGCCAGGGGGAAACGACAGTAGGCTGTTTTAAAACTCATATGTTTGGGGGGGAAAACCCCACACCACGCAGGAGCTATGGACAGGCGTGAAACAACAGACCGATGAGTGGTTGTTGCCCCTGAGCCTCAAGCCCGACCTGGTGGTGTGCGATAATGGGCGAAATCTCGTAGCAGCTCTGGGCCTAGCCGGTTTGTCGCACATCCCTTGCCTGGCACATTTGCTGAATTTGGTAGTGCAGAAATTCCTGAAAAACTACCCAGATATATAAGAGCTGCTGCAGAAAGTGCGGGCGGTCTGTGCACGCTTTCGGCGTTCTCACCCTGCTTCCTCAACCTATGGGTCTACGCTGCAGCGTAACTTCGGCCTTTTCGCTCACCGCCTTATATGCGATGTGCCCACAAGGTGGAACTCCACCTTGCAATCCTGGAGAGACTGTGCGAGCAGCAGCAGGCGATAATTGGGGTTTCAGCTGCAGCTCGCACGGGTCAGTCGCTCTGCGGAACAGCACCACTTCACCACCAATGAGTGGGCTTCCATGCGAGACCTGTGTGCCATGTTGCGCTGTTTCGAGTACTCCACCAACATGGCCAGTGCCAATGACGCTGTTCTCAGCCTCACTAGCCTATTTCTATGTCTCCTTGAAAAAACGCTCTGGGCGATGATGGAAGAGGATGTGGCACAGGAGGAGGAGGGGTAATTTCCACGGTTATCAGGCCAGTCATTCACAATTGGCTCGGAGGGTGGGGTCCTGCACCAGCATAGTCCAGGTACACAATTGTCCAGCATCTCCACACTGTACCATGGAAGTGTTCAGCTGTCCATCTCCCAAACACTGGAGATAAAGAGGAAGTACCCCCCTACCCACCCGCGATCCCTGGCCCTGAATGCCAGCATTTCAAAATTCCTGGCCTTTGAAATGCTGTCATTCCGTCCGGTGGAGACGGACAGTTTTAAAAACCTGATGGCGTTATTGGACTGCAAGAAATGCACCGCAGGCCGCAAATGTTTCTTTTTTTATATGTCCCAATATTTTGTTGGCTACCCCAATAAAAAAACAAACAAAAAAATAAAAATAAATAAAAAACAGTGTTGGCTACCTCCTCCGCCTCCACCACCGCTTCCACCTACACCGCCACGGTCACCGCCTCCTCAACCTCCTACTCCACATCCACCTCCTAGAGAAAGGTGCAAAAGCGGAGCGACCGTCCCCTAGACAGTATGCCTGCTACTGCCCACCGCACCCAGGGACCGAGCACACCAAAGCCAGCTCTAAGGAATTCCCTGGCGTGGCAGTTCTTCAGACCATGTGCCTGCGACAAGACACTAGTGGTTTGCATGCTGTGCAATCAGAGCCTGAAGCGAGGCATGTTTCTTTTTTTATATGTCCCAATATTTTGGGGGCTACCCCAACTAAAAAAAAAAAAAAAAAAAATTGTAGCGGAGAGCTGGCATTACACAGCCTATCTCCACTTTAGATCCCAGGGAGGCTCAGGAACAAGCAATTATAAATCCATAGGGCAGAGTATCCAGCAGGCAAAGTATCACAGCAGTATCCCAACAGCAATCCCAATAACTGGACGACACACAGTATCAGGAGCAGAACTAAAGATTTATTCACACAGTGGCCTTTTAAAGCCTGCTCCCATGCAAAGGAGGAATTTCCATTAATTTGTACAGTAGCCAATCCTGCTCTGGTAATCTCCCACACATCTCCTCCCCTCAGCCTGCATCATAATCCCCTTATCCAGCACACCAATTCCCCCCCGTTTCTGGATGTACCCCTTTAAATTATACATCCCCTGGTAGCCCTGATCTGGGTGAACAACATGTCCAAAAATCACCCAGATCAGACCAGGGGTTCGGGAAATTCATGGAGGGAATAAAATGACCGACCGCACTGGAGAGAACAGCTGAATGGGGTTCCATGCGATGGGGCCCTGCGGTCTGTCCTGGAGTCAGGGAATAAACTGCATGAAAGCCTCTAGCTACAGAGACTAGGAAGGGTTCGCCTGAATCCCCTCGTTCGGTTGTTTCTATCTACCGAACGAGGGGCTGTTCGGTAGTTTGGAACCGAACGGACCGGGCTTGTGGAGGTCTCAGTGGTGTTCGCCTAGTCGAGTGCCCAATTTGAGTTCCAGACACTCGACGGCAAAACACCGCTGTTCGGGAGTTTTAAAATGACCGCCGCCACGTGTTCGTTTCCCGAATGGCGGCCACCCCCGAGAACAAAGGACGGCTACTCAGCTTGTCAATTACCTGTTCGCAACAATGTTGCAACGGGTAATTGAAGGCACACTTCGCACAGGGGAGGTCTGACTGTTCGGTAGTTTCATTTGAACAAACTAAGGGAATGAAACTACCTAACATTCAGACGAATACAATACATGTAACACATAGAACTTTGCTATTTTACACGAATGCATTCAAACACATGTAATTCTCAGGACAGCCCAGTGCCATCCACTACAATAATAACAAAAACAAAAAAACTAATAAAAACAGTGTTGGCTACCGCCTTCTCTTCCACTGCCGCTTCCACCTACACCGCCATGGTCACCGCCTCCTCAACCTATGGGTCACTTAGTATAGACTATGTACAATAGCAGAGGCTTGTGAAGGCCTTTTCTCCATCAGGAGTTGAGCTCAGTTTGAACAATGAAAGAGAATACCCTGCACTCCAACCCTCTCTCAAATGGATAATTCTGGTGATCCACCTGACAGCCATGCTTTAGATTTTGATTTATGTTATTCCAAAGCTATCAAAGATTCAATTTAGTGCTATTTTATGGCTCAGCTGTATTTTACATTTTTATGTATTTTTATGTATTTTATGTTATTTTTAAGTGATGTCCCTATCCACATTTATTTGCAGGACACTTTTCCTACGCATACCCCCTTTTTACTTCCCTTTGCAGCCCTCTAGCCCTTTCCAAGACTTTTTTAGAAGCATTTTAGTGCCCAAAAGTTTGGGTCTCCATTGACCTCAATTGGGTTCGTGTTCGGGGTCACGTTCGAGTCAGAACTTTAACTTTTTGATGAAGTTCAGCCGAACTCGGCGAACCCAAACATCCAGGTGTCCGCTCAACTCTATGTAGGTACACTAAAAATTGAAATGGGGGTGTTAGTTAATGAAGACCAGGAAAAGGCAGGAATTTTAAATAACTATTTCTCCTCCGTATATATTAAGGAAGAACCCTGTCAGGATATTTATATCGGCAGACATTTTGTGCTAAGATAGAAATTAAAAGTGTATATTGAAGAGTCACTCAGAACAAAGCGGACTCCATTTTGCTATCTTCAGGCAAGACAGACACAAAATTTCTTTCCTTTCTGTAACTAGCCACCAGCCTGAGCTAAGGAATGCATTATGTAAACAAGCCAAGTGATAAGCAATGAAGCAGGAGGATGGAAT